TTGATAAGAATGTTGTTTATTGGTCTAGTGGTGAAGATTTTTGTTTTCTTGACATTGAGATGAAATCCATACCGAAGGCTGTGCTCTTTGATCTTCATCAGTAAATGTTTTTTAAGGTCTTTTCACTTTCAGCAAGCAAGGTTGTATCATCTGCGTATTGCGGGTTGTTAATGAGTCTTTCTCCAATCCTGATGCCAAGTTTTTCTTCATATAACCCAGCTTCTCATATTATTTGCTCAGCATACAGGTTTGAATAAGTATGGTGAAAGAATACAACCTTTTCACACACCTTTCTTAATTTTAAAACATTCAGTGTTCCCATGCTCTGTTCGAACAACTGCTTCTTGGTCCAGGTACAGATTCCTCATGAGTACAGTTAAGTGTTCTGGAATATGTTTCTCTGCTATTCATAAGGTTTTCAGTGACTTATGATTAGACACACTCATATACTCATGTAAGGGGCACTGGTAGTATAGTAATGAAATTGTCACTTTCCATTTGGGAGACCTGAGTTCAGTTGCTAGCCCGTGTACCTCATGTGCCTCTACTACCTGTCTGTCAGTGGAGGCTGGCTTACATACTTCTGAGATGCTGAAAAATCAGCCAGTGGGAAACCCTATGGATTATAGCGATCCGCTCTGCAACTAATTTTGGATGGAGCAAGAATCAGCTGTTATTCATGGTGTTACGTTGAGTTGGCTAACTCTTAAGGCAGCAATATATTGTTGATTTCATGTATACTTCAAATCATCTGTGGGATGGGTTAGCTGTAAACATGACCACTTTGTATAAAACTACTTCTGGGGTTCAAGATTTAAAGTTCAAAAGTGATTTTTAAATGGAAATCTTATTTGACTATTTATAAATTAGAGAATAGTTATACTGAAATCTTAAAATATTTTGATGGATAGCATGAAAACATAATTCTTCCTGTTTTTATTTTGTTGTGGTTTTGTTTTTTTTTAAGTAGTTTTTGAGTTTTGTTCCACATTTTTTCCCACTCTATCTGGAACCTTCTAATGTTATCCCTCTCAGAGCAGTCGGTAGTGGTAGCAAGGCGTAATCTAGTTCTTCTGGTCACAGAGTCATGGAGACTGATGCTCACATGTTCCACTAGTTCATTGGACTCAGTGATTCCAAGTGTCTTCAGTTCTTATCACTTTTCATTCTTCTGCACCTAAGATGGCTGCTCATGAGCTTTCAAGATTTTAGATGCTACTCACCCTAGCAGGACTTAGAACATTGTCTCTGTGGACTATGTCTGTTAGGCCGGTTGACCATGGTGTCCCCTGAGACTATCTATGCTCCTGATCCCCCCAGTCCCAGTAACTCACTGCCTTAAGATGTTTGATAATATCTAGGAAATTTTCATCATTTTGCCCATTTGTGTGCTCCATCACATTCACAGTTATATTTAAAAGAAAGATAAATACTCATGTATAAATAACCTCTTTCAAATTCTTTTATTTGTGGTATATGAACATATGTATGTCACACTTCCTCCCTTGCCCCGTCAGTGTATGTCTCAATCCATGTATCTCAACACAGAACACTGTTGTTCCAAGGTTGTGTTTATATTACTCTTTACCTCTTTAGCCCATGCATACCTCCCTGAAAACACACTTTTTTTTTTAAAACCAAAAA